CACCCTAACCTCACAATTAAAAGAGTTTGAGAGGTGAGAGCAAACTAATCCAAAAGCTAGCAGAAGACAAGAAATAACTAACATCAAAGAGGAATTGAGGGAGATAGAAACACGAAAAATCCTCCAAAAAAATCAATGAATCCAGGAGCTGGTTTTATGAAAAAATTAACAAAATTGACAAACTGCTAGTGAGACTAATAAAGAAGAAGAGAAAGAAGAATCAAATTGACACAATAAAAAGTGATAAAGGGGATATCACCACTGACCCCACAGAAATACAAACTACCAATAGAGAATATGGTAAACACATCTACACAAATAAACTAGACAATCTAGAAGAATTGGATAAATTCCTGGATGCATACACCTTACCAAGACTAAACTAGGAAGAAGTCGGATCCCTGAATAGACCAATAACAAGCTCTGAAATTGTGGCAGTAGTTAATAGCCTAACAACCAAAAAATCCCAGGACCAGACAAATTCACAGCTGAATTCTTCCAGATATACAAAGAGAAGCTGGTACTATTCCTTCTGGAACTATTCCAAACAATTGAAAAAGAGGGAATTTCCTCTAACTCATTTTAAGAAGCCAGCATCATCCTGTTACCAAAATCGGGAAGAGACACAACAAAAAAAGAAAATTTCAGGCCAATATCCCTGATGAACATCAATGTAAAAATCCTCAATAAAATACTGGAAATGCTGGCAAACTGATTCCAGCAGCACATTAAAAACTTATCCACCAAGATCAAGTCAGCTTTATCCCTGGGATGCAAGTTTGGTTCAACATAAGCAAATCAATAAACGTAATCCATCACATAAACCAGAACCAATGACAAAGCCCACAGGATTACCTCAATAGATGCAGAAAAGGCATTCGATAAAATTCAACATCCCTTCATGTTAAAAACTCTCAATAAACTAATTATTGATGGAACATCTCTCAAAATCATAAGAGCTATTTATGACAAACCCACAGCCAATATCATACTGAATGCGCAACAGCTGAAAGCATTCCCTTTGAAAACCGGCACAAGACAAGGATACCTTCTTTCACCACTTCTATTCAACATAGTATTGGACGTTCTGGCCGGAGCAATCAGGCAAGAGAAAGAAATAAAGCGTGTTCAAACAGGAAGAGAGGAAGTCAAATTGTCTCTGTTTGCAGATGACATTATTGTATATTTAGAAAATCCCATCGTCTCAGCCGAAAACCTCCTTAAGCTGAGAAGCAACTTCAGCAAGGTCTTAGGATACGAAATCAATGTGCAAAAATCACAAGTATTCCTTTACACCAACAGTAGGCAATCAGAGAGCCAAATCATGAATGAACTCCCATTCACAATTGCTACAAAGAGAACAAAATACCTAGGAATGCAACTAACAAGAGATGTGAAGGACCTCTTCAAGGAGCACTACAAGCCACTACTCGAGGAAATAAGAGAGAAAACAAACAAATGGAGAAACATTCCATCTCCATGGATAGGAAGAATGAATATCTTGAAAATGGCCATACTGCTCAAAGTAATTTATAGATTCAATGCTATTTCCATCAAACTACCATTGACATTCTTCACAGAATTAGGAAAAACTATTTTAAATTTCATGTGGAATCAAAGAAGACGCCGTATAGCCAAGACAATCTTAACCAAAAAGAACAAAGCTGGAGGCATCATGCTACCTGACTTCAAACTATACTACAAGGCTACAGTAACCAAAACAGCGTGGTACTGGTACCAAAATAGACATATAGACCAGTGGATCAGAACAAAGACCTCAGAAATAACACCACACATCTACAACCATCTGATCTTCAACAAGCCTGACAAAAACAATCAATGGGGAAAGGATCTCCTATTAAGTAAATGGTGCTGGGAAAACTGGCTAACCATATGAAGAAAACTGAAACTGGACCCCTTCCTTACACCTTATACAAAAACTAACTCAAGATGAATTAAAGACTTAAATGTAAAACCCCATACCATAAAAACCCTAGAAGTAAACCTAGGCAATACCATTCAGGACATAGGCATGGGCAATGACTTCATGACAAAAACACCAAAAGCAATTGCAACAAAAACAAAAATTGACAAATGGGATCTAATTAAACTAAAGAGCTTCTGCACAGCAAAAGAAACTATCATCAGAGTGAACAGGCAACCTACAGAATGGGAGAACACTTTTGCAATCCACCCATCTGACAAAGGTCTAATATCCAGAATTTTCAAGGAACTTAAATCTATTCACAAGGAAAAAGCAACCCCATCAAAAAGTGGGCAAAGGATATGAACAGACAATTCTCAAAAGAAGACATTTACGGAGCCAACAAACACGAAAAAAAGCTCAACATCACTGATCATCATAGAAATGCAAATCAAAACCACAAGGAGATACCATCTCACCCCAGTCAGAATGGCAATTATTAAAAAGTCAGGAAACAATAGATTCTGGTGAGACTGTGGAGAAATAGGAACACTTTTACACTGTTGGTGGAAGTGTAAATTAGTTCAACCAATGTGGAAGACAGTATGGCAATTCCTCAAAGATCTAGAAGCAGCAATATCATTTGACCCAGTAATCCCATTACTGGATATATACCTAAGGATCCTACAGAAAATGATTCAGTAAACCTATAAAGACACATGCACATGTATGTTTATTGCAGCACTATTTACAATAGCAAAGACATGGAACTAACCCAAATGCCCATCAATGATAGACTCGATAAAGAAAATGTGGTACATACACCATGGAATACTATGCAGCCATAAAAAGGAATGAGATCACATGCTTTGTGGGGACATGGATGAAGCTGGAAGCCACCATCCTCAGCAAACTAGCACAGGAACAGAAAACCAAACACCCCATGTTCTCACTCTTAAGTAGGAGTTGAACACTGAGAACACATGGACACAGAAAGGAGAACAACACACACCAGGGCCTGTGGAAGGGTGGGGAGTGAGGGGAGGGAACTTAGAGGATGGGTCAATAGGTGCAGCAAACCACCATGACCCACGTAGACCTATGTAACAAACCTGCACGTTCTACACATATATTCCCCCCACTTTTTATTTTTTTTTAAGAAAATACTTTCTGAACTTGCAACATACTGTTTTAAACAGCCCCAGTTGAGAGGTGGGCTCAGTCTTTAGAAATAGCCAAAAGAATTTGGAGTCACATTTAGAAAACCTAGAAAACAACAACAACAACAACAAAAACACTACACATGTTTTTATGAGGATAGGCAAATGAATGTACTCCAGGTTTCAAAGCACTATATACAAGTCAGTACCTGTCACAGTTGATCCCATGTATGAGTTTATACACTTACTTCTCCAAATTGACAGTGAAACACTTCAAGCACAGGAACCCTATTCCCCAGCAACTAGCAAATATTGGGACATGTGCTAGACTCCTAAAGTTTCTTGATGTTACTGGAATATCCAAGGGTCAGGAGTTTACAGTCTTAGACTCCAAACATCTATATGCCTTAAGGTTCTCACAGTTTACCTGGATGCTTAGCTTCATGTGTGCAGCATATATGTCTCCCTTCTCAAATTTTCAACATTACTTCATTCAAAAATGTATTAATGCTTACTACATGACAAATTGTCTGCTAGAAATTATGTCTTCCTGAACATTGTGTGAGGATATGTAACACTTGTATATGTGACGTTAGTGACACCTGAGCTTTCACTACCAATGAAAGCTTTCAAGAACAAGCTAGTATTCACCTTTTATAAACTTTTAAAAGGTTTTTTTTTTTAAAAAAAAAACAGCTTTAGTGAGACATAATTCATATGCTATACAATTATGACTTTAACAATTGTAGACTTTAAAAATCTACAATTTAAAAGAGTCCTCACTTTAAAAGTTTAATACAATTCAGTGGTTTTTAGTATACTCACAGGATTGAGCAACCATGGCCACTATCTAATTTCAATCACCCTAAAAGGAAACCTTGTACCCATTATTTGTCATTTCTCAATCCTCCACTTTCCTCAGCCTCTAGCGACCACTAGCCTACTTTCCATCTCGTGGATTTGCCATTCTGGACATATTGTGTAAATGGGCTCATATGGTGTGTGATCTTCTGTTGTCTGGTTTCTTTCAGTTAGCATATTTTCAAGTTTCATCCATGTTGCAACATGCATCGCTACCTCATTCTTTTATTTATTTATTTATTTATTTATTTATTTATTTATTTAATTAATTATTTTGATTTTGAGTCTCACTCTGTTGCCCAGGCTGGAGTGCAGTGGTGCGATCTCAGCTCACTGCAAGCTCCACCTCCTGTGTTCATGCTATTCTCCTGCCTCAGCCTCCCGAGTAGCTGGGACTTCAGTTACCCGCTACCACGCCCAACTAATTTTTTATATTTTTAGTAGAGGCAGGGGTTTCACCATGTTAGCCAGGATGGTCTCGATCTCCTGACCTCATGATCCACCTGTCTGGGCCTCCAAAGTGCTGGGATTACAGGTGTGAGCCACCGCACCTGGCCTACCTCATTCATTTTTAAGACTGTATAATATTTCATTGTAGGTATATACCATATTTTGTTTACCCATTCATCAGTTGATACACATTTCAATTGTTTTCATGCCTTGGCTATTATGATTAATGCTGCTATGAACTTTCATGTATATGACTTTTTGTGTTGACATATTTTTGCTTCACTTGGGTATATATTTTGGAGTAAAATTTCTGGGTCATATGGTAACTCTATGTTAAAGTTTTCGAGGAACTGCCAAGTTGTTAAGAAGATGTACCATTTTACATTTCCATTAGCAATGCATGAGGATTTAAAAGTTTCAGTTTTAACTCAATGTATGCTCCAACAAAAACAAGCCATGTATTTTTAATTTCGTATTTACACGTTAAATCTCATTATCCTGATAACCATCTTGCATTTTCTACAGGAAAGACACAAGATACTTTCTCTTTATTGTGACATTAAGTAAGATGATACTCCATTGATGTCCTATTTCATTCATTCTAGCCAAGGAAATACGACAGAAGCAATTAAATACTTGAAAAAATTTGTGAAAATTGCAAGAAACAATTTTCAAAGCCTAGATTTTGTGAGAGCAAGTACAATGCTTGGGGACATCTACAATGAAAAAGTGAGTCTATGTGTTTCTTGTTTCTAGAGAAATTTGCAGTGTTTAGGGAGAAATTTGCTGTTTTAAAAGTCTCTTCTCATGTTATCCTTGCCTTCCCACCATATATTATGCAGAATGGCCCTGGACTGCAGGATGTAGTTAAAGCCCATGGCAAGGACTAGGAGGAGAAATGCCTCCTCCTCCTCCTCCTCCTCCTCCTCCTCCTCCTCTTCCAATACCTTAGGGCCATGTGGGACAGTCCTTATGAGCTGCTAACCCTGATTCATAGTTTCACATCCAGTGAGGATTCTAACTGACATTGGATTTGAGGAGCAATTAAAATATTTAATTCAAAGGAAATAGATTATAACTGTTGGCTATTATCTGCTTCCACTGACATTCATCTCTCCCACTCCAAATTCTTTATTAATCCAGCTGTGGCACCCCTGCTAGTTTCCTTGGGAGAAGAAACGACAATCCTAAAAATAATTCTGCAGAAAATTTAGAGTGAAATTTTAGCAACAGATTGATTACATGAAAGAGAAAACAGAAGGAAGAACAAAAAAAGTCCAAAATAAAATTATCCAATTCAAGAAGCTGTTATTAGTATAATGTACTGGTCACAATGGACTTTTGTCGTATTTTCTCGTGATTTTGTGTTTTTATTACAGATTCTCCTTTAGCAATGGTGTGAAAGAGCCTTGTTTCTCTAGTTATAATTGCTGTTTTGATCATGAATAAGATCCATCATTTTTTAGGGTAATTATTGTCTCAAATTATGTTTATACACTCTCTGTTAATCTCTTTGAGAGTCTGTGTATGTAGTGAATAAAGTCACTAATTCCAAAACCACACTGCTTGAGTTAAAAACCCAGCTCTTGCACTTGTAAGATCTGTGACCTTGGGCTAGTTACTGAAATTTCTAGGTGCCTCAATATTCTCACCTCGTAAAGTTATTGTGAGTATTAAATTAACATGTGGAAAGCACTTAGGATAGTGCTTTGCAACAGGAGAAGTATTATCTTTGTAAGTTTCTGTTGTTCTCTACACCCTTAGTGGTATCAAACAATTCCCCTTTGCCAGACCCTCAGATGATGCTGGGTGGCAACGGTATTCAAACCCATTTTCCCAACTACTACAGTATTCTGTTGTTTGCCATAAAATTAACTTTATTTCACAAGGATTTAGGTTTTTTTTTTTTTTTAAGGAAATCAAGTTTGAAATTAATTTGAATGAGTGAAACTAATATTTCTTTAGTTCCTGAAGTGGAGCAAGTGCTTTCAAACAAGGTATCTCATTTCCTTTTTCTCTTACATCCCCTCTCTTTCTCCCCTGGGCTCATTTGCCTCCCCTCTCTCCTATTCCTTGAAATCTAAAAAGCCCCTTTTTGTCCTGGCCCTTCTTCTCCACGACTCCCTTACCCACCTTGCTCCCTTCTCTCCTGCGTTCTTCCTTCTTGACCCCCCTCCTTGCTCTCTGACCCCCGGGTCTTCCTCTCCCTCTCTCCCATGGCCACCACTTTGTTTCCCCTCTTGTTTCGAGTCCTCCCTTGTCTGTTGCTCTAGCTGTGCTCAGGTTTTGCATGTCGTGTGCTTCCTCTGCTACCCTCTGGCTCCCTGCCCATTTCTTTGCCTTTATTGACTCTTCTCTCCTTGATTTTGTATTTGCTTTTATTTCCTTTTTAGGATACAGTGGTGAAAACAGGCAAGACCTAAACCCTTGTGAGGCTCACAGTCTAATGAGGGAGCTTCTCCTATAGCATAGGAGAAAAGATATAGTCCATGAATATATGCAGTATGATATGGTATATGAATCAAGTTGTATATTTGAAGGCATATATATTTGAAGATAGTGCAAATACCCAGAATCCTCCAAATTTTCTATTAGAATAGGGATAAACTGGTAACATTTAACTTCTGGCAGTTGACACAGCTTTTGGATATTATTTCTTGTACCTTAACTTCAGAAATTAAACTCTTATCCAAGAATCAAAAATCAGAGAATAAAATACACACTGGTGAGATATAAACTCTTGGCAAAAACATTAAGAAAATGCAAGTATAAAAATATTGCTCCTCTTAAAGTGTATTTTCCTTACACTTTCTGTTATTAGGAAAATATAGGTTAGCCATGCTCACGTTATTCAGAAGGGCTGGGTTTGAGTATTGTTTGGAGGTAGGGTAAAAAGTTGGGCTTTTTGCCCTTCTGTTTTGAAAAACAGTCCTTTTAAAAGCTCAGGCCTCTCCCCTCAATTCCAAACGCATACCCCACCACCCATTTGACATTTTCACTTAGATGTCTTCAAGTATAATGTACTAAAAACTGAACTTAACTGTTTTTTTCTCTAAATTTTTCTTCTAACAACTTAAATCTCAACCACAGTGGAATATTATTTAGGCATTTTCCAAGCAATCTTCTCTTTTTAGTCTGCAAGCTCCTCTTATCTGCCCCATCCAGGCCCATGGCTTTTAAATACTATCCATATGCCAATGACTTCCAGATTTGTATCTCCAATCCTGATCTCTCCTGGGACTCCAAACTTTGTAAAGGCAATTGCTTCCTTAGCACCACTACCCAGATTTCTAACATATTTCAAATGGAACCTCCACCTCTCTAGTCTTCTCCATCTTTTAAATAGTAACATTATCCATCCACCCAGTCACTTCAGCCAAAAATCTGGAAATCCTTCAATTCTTATCTCCCCCAGCTCCATATTCAAGCCAAAAGCAAACTCTGACCTTTGTGTTACCAAATATATATCTCAAATCCACGCTTTTGCCTCTATCTCTGCAACTGTCACATCAGTTTATGACACTATATTGTCTCACCTAGACACTGCAGTAAGCCCTAAACTCACCTTCCTGCATGCACTCTGTTCCCTCCCACCCCCGCATAAGCAGAAAGAGGCCAAGTAATTATTTTAAAATGTAAATCAAATGCAATTTCCCTGCTTAAAATACTTCCATTACTTCTCATTCACACTTCCATTACTTCTCGTTCTTCTGAGAACATAAATATAAATCCTTACCCTGTCCTAAAATATGAGATAGCCCCACCCCTATCTCTGACCTCATTGCTTCCTACTCCTTTTTATCCACCCCACTGTAGCGAATTGACATTCTTGGAGTTCTTTAAGCATGTCAAGCTAGTTCCTGCCTTAGAACATTTGCCTTGGCTGAATGCTCTACATGAAATGCTCTGAACTTCACATTGCTGGCTTCTTGTCACTCAGATCTCTGTTCAATGCCACATCTTCAGAGGGGCCTTCCCTTAGCAACTAAAGAGTGGCCATCAGGTCGCCCCCTCCCTTTTTTTTTTTTTTGAAATGGAGTCTGACTCTGTTGCCAGACTGGAGTGCAGTGGCACAATTTCGACTCACTGCAACCTCTGCCTCCCGGATTCAAGCAATTCTCCTGCCTCAGCCTCCTGAATAGCTGGGACTACAGGCGTGCGCCACCACGCCCAGCTAATTTTTGTATTTTTAGTAGAGACAGGGTTTCACCATGTTGGCCATGATGGTCTGGATCTCTTGACCTCATGATCCGCCCACCTCGGTCTCCCAAAGTGCTGGGATTACAGGCATGAGCCACCGTGCCCTCTCCCTAACCCTGCCCCCTCCCAATTCTTTTTTTTAATAGAGAATTGTCATGTGGCCCAGGTTTTGTCATGTGGCCCAGGGTGGTCTTGAACTTCTGGACTCAAAGGATTTTCCTGCTTCAGCCTCCCAAAGTGCTATGGATTACAGGCATAAGCTGCCCCACCTGGGTCACTCTTTAAAATTACTGTATTTGAATATTTGAATTATCCATGTAGCATTTATCTTCTCATAGTTTTCTTGTTCATGTTATGTTCTTTTTTTTTTTTTTTTGAGACGAAGTCTTGCTCTGTTGCCCAGGCTGGAGTGCAGTGGCCCTATCTCAGCTCACTGAAAGCTCCGCCTCCCGAGTAGCTGGGACTACAGGCGCTCGCCACCTCGCCCGGCTAGTTTTTTGTATTTTTTAGTAGAGACGGGGTTTCACGGGCTTAGCCAGGATGGTCTTGATCTCCTGACCTCGTGATCCGCCCGTCTCGGCCTCCCAAAGTGCTGGGATTACAAGCTTGAGCCACTGCGCCCGGCCCATGTTATGTTCTTATTGTTGTTGTTTAATTTGGCCAAAATATAAGTTTAATGAGAGCAGGAACTATATCTGCCTTGTTTATTATTCTAGTGTCTAGAAAAAAACCTGGCACAGAATTGGTGATCAAAAACATGTCAGTTCCTTGAACCAATAAATAAATTTGTAACCAGTTTCACACCACTTAAGACTGGTATTCTCTCACTTGTGAAAGTTCAGACTTCTATTTCATTTTGTCGTCGTTGTTTTGAGACAGAGTTTCACTCTTGTTGCCCAAACTGGACTGCAGTGGTGCAGTCTCAGCTCACTGCAACCTCTGCCTCCTGGGTTCAAGCAATTCTCCTGTCTCAGCGTCCGGAGTAACTGGGATTACAGGCATATGCCACCCCACCCGCCTAATTTTTGTATTTTTCGTAGAGACGAGGTTTCACCATGTTGGCCAGGTTGGTCTCGAACTCTTGCCCTCGAGTGATCCTCCCTCCTCGGCCTCCCAAAGTGCTGGATTACAGGCATGAGCCACCATGCCCCACCTCTATTTCATTTTTGTATAATATTTTAACATTTTGAAAACTTGTCCTGAATCTTTAAAAGCAAACCCAATATTTTTGGGCTTCATATTATTCATGCAAGGTATTGTAATTGTATTCTTAACAATTTTCAAGAAGTAAAAATATTATAAAACCAAAATTATAATGGTTGGAAAAATATTGGAGTTACCTTTTCTGTAATTATTATAGTAATTATAATTAGAATTAGTGCATCTTAAAAATATCCTGCATCCTAGTTAGTTACCTTTTACTATGTAATCATAGAAAATGGACCACTCATCCTCCCCTCTGGGTCTTTGATGGACTGTTAATTGAAAATATATAATTAGTGTAAAGTGGTCAAATGAGAATGTTTTAG